GGTTCAGTGTTGTTTTTAAGAATACCTATTTGCTGGGTTTTTGTTTAGTGTCTACAGGGGGTTTTTTTTGTAATTTTCCCTCAAGTACTTTAAATGTTTTTTACTTGTCTTCTGACTCACATAGTTTCAGATGAGACTTGCAGTGAGTGCATATTTGTTACTCTGTACAGAGTATGTCTTTTTGTGAATTTAAAACATTTTCTGTTTATTATTCTTTTTCAGCAGTTTGAATATACAGTTTGCAAAATGTACAGCTGTTATTTCACTAGATAGTTTTCTTCTCCCCTCTCCCTCTAACTCCAGCCTCACACTTGTTAGGTTTCTGTTGTCCTAAGGGCACCGTGGCTCTATGATTGTCATTTTTCAGTTTGTCTTTTATTTTGAATAATTAAAAAATGACTTTAAGGTCAGTGAGATTTTCTTTTGTTGTCTCTATTTAGATGTTATCTTTGTTATCTCAGTGAGCTCTTTTTATTTTTAATACTTTCCATTTCTCTCATTCATGTTTCCTTTTAGGTCCACCTGGCCTTCATAGCAAGTTTGAGTCCAGCTTCAAACATACGCAGTGAGACCTTGCCTCAAAAAACTAAAATGAAAGGGCTGAAATAGGAAAAACAGGAAAGAAACTCAAAGGTCTAAAAGAAATAAACTTTATGTTGTCATATATAATTAGACTTCAAACTTATGTTAAAGACTATAATTTGGAAATACCTGAGTCAATATCGAAATATAAGAAATATATGCAACTTGGCAACTGATGTGGGTTTGAGAAGTATGACCATTATCTTATGCATTGAGAAATTAGTGTGTGATTAGCCAGAAGTCACATATCAGAAGCCAGTCAGCAGCAGTTATAAAGAGATGAATGAAATACGAGAAATTTGAAAAGGATATTATGTTTGATAAGGTGGTCCATTAGCCAGAAGGAAAAGAATTTTGATGGGTTGATGAATATAAGAAACATGTCTTACTGATCTCTAAGCCAAGAAGAGGACAAATGAAAGGAGGAAAAAACAGTGCAAAAATTAAAGTAAAAATTCTTGTTGAGGAGTAAAATATCTTGTTGAGGGGTAAAGTAACAGTGCAAAACCAATATTTTGATAGAGATTACAAGCTAGATGAAACAAGTCTGAAATAAAGCTAATTGTGTCAAAAAGCAGTGTAGACAGGGCTGGGGATTTAGTTCAGTGGTGCCACCACCTGTCTCTCAATCACAAGGTCCTGAGTTGATCCCCGGTGCCAAAAAAAACCAAAAAGTAGACTGTGATCAGATATCAGAGAGAAATTTAGAGTAGACCAGGACATTGATCCAGAAGATTAAGTGAGAAAGCAATAGCTAAGCTATATATTTGTCAGTTTCTTTAAAAATTGATATTAATTATTATGAAGAATTGTAAAAGAAATACTAAAAGTAAAAATTGCTCCTATAATATCTCCTTAATTTCCTGTTTCACTCCCTATTGTAGCAGCCATGTTGTGGCTATTAAGAATATCACCTCTCTGTCCTTAGTGCTTATATTGGTCCCAGGTTTCTAAACCAAGGGATCCTTGAAATATTTATTTCCTTGTTTGAATAGAATCAGATACAGGGAGGACTGGTAGGGTGACCTATGAATTTGTGATAAACAAGTTATCCAGATACTTGTTTAAAGTGCTTTTAACCATGCTATTTTGTCTACCAGTTTCTGAGAGTGGCATGTTTAATTTCGCATAATGATCAGTCATCAGTGTCTTTGCTGTTATGTAAATGTTTGTTTTGTATAATGTAAATTTCTCTTACATTCTCTAGAGATGACTTCAGCCTTTTATCATTTTTTTGGTGAAAATTTATATTTGTATTTTTATCTTTTCATGTTATTTCTGTTAACTGCATTTTCTCTCTTTTTGCTCGCTGTAGAAATTGATTTAACCAGTATGTAGTGACCTTCTTTGTCTCTTTTAATCAGTTTTGGCCTTAAGTTTACTATATCTGAGATTAAAATTGCTACCCCTACTTTGTTTTTGGGGTCTTGGTGCATAAAATATTGTTTTCCATCCTTTTGATTTTTAGTCTATGAATATCTTTTTGGATTAGATGAATTTCTTGTGCATGTGTGTGTGTTTGTATGTGTTTTGAGGCAGGGTCTCACTATATAGTCCATGGTGACCCTGAACTCACTATGTAGCCCAGCTTGGCCTTGAACTTGAGGAGATATTCCTGCCTCAGCCTACCAAATGCTGGCATTAACAGGCATGCACCACCATGCCCGGCTGTCTGATTGCTTTTAGAATTCTGTTTTGGTTGGGTATCTGGCAATTTAATAAGGATATATCTTGGTGAGCTTCATTTTTCATCATAGTTGTTTGGTGTTCTGGTAGCTTCACTTGTTTTTGTTGTTGTTGTTATTTTTGTTTTGTTTTTGATACTGAGGATCAAACTTGGGACCTTGCGCTTGTGAGGCAGGCAGTGAGTGGCACCACTGAGCTAAATCCCCGGCCTGGTAGCCTCACTTGTACATTGAACTTTTCTCATATTTTGGAAATTTTCTGGTATGATTTCTGTACACATATTAATAATCCCATCTGTGTTATCTTTTAGCTTTTCTCTAACTCCAATCAGCCTAGGTTTGTTTGTTTGTTTATTTATTTATGTATGGGGGATTGAATTTGGGACGGAACCACTTAGCCAGATCCCTGGCCCAGGTTGGTCTTTTTAGTGTCATCTAGTAGCTGATTATTTATTTTGGCTGCTCTCAGCACTTCTTTATAATTTACCATTTTTTCTCAATTTCAGACTAGAATGCATAATGTTGAGTGGAATAAGTCAAGCACACAAGCTTAAATACTATACAGAATCTCTCATTTGAAAAAGCCAATATAGAAAGAGCACAATAAAGGATGGATAGGATACAAGGAGATGGAGCTCTCTTTTTTTTTTTTTTAAAGAGATGGATCTCTTGCAAATGGGAAGGGATACAAGTAAATGTGGGTGAGAGGAGAGGGGAAGAGGAAGGGGAAACAAGTAGAATGAGGATGTACCACGTACAGGAACCTAATAATCTCAATGAATGTACAAAATATATGTCATAAATGGGAGATCAGGTTAATAATGAAAATGGGGAAAGGGGATTAAGAGAAGGAGGGAGATGGAAGAGAAGGAGAGTTAAAAAAAAAACCCAAACTGTATTATGTACATATACTCACTCCCCAAGATGATTGTAAACTGCATGTACTGCAAACATATTAATTTTTAAAAAGTAGTTGCAAAAAAGAAATTAATGAAATACTTCTTTCTCCTTTCCTGTTTTCAAGTTTTTGTTGTTCAGACTTAAAAACATAACTAAATAAAGTTTTTTTCACTGTACCTCACTTATCTTTAGTCAGATCTAAAGATTATTATTTCCCTTATTTCTGTGAACAATAAAATCAATCTTAGAATGCTTTTTCCCTGACCACCATTTTTCCATTTTCCAAGTTTTGTAGTCTCTGAATTTGGTTCTGCCTCCCCATGAGGTTTGGAAGGTTACTGTTTTAGCTGTTTGACTTTTAGGGTATAGTAACAAACTTCTAATGTTAAATCACCTTTGTATTCTGATCATATCAACTTAATTTTTTAAAAAATCCATAGTTTTTGGCCGGGGATTTAGCTCAGTGCTTTCGCCGCCTGCTGCACAAGCACAAGGACCCGAGTTTGATCCCTGGTACCAAAAAAAAAAAAAAAATACATAGTTTTTACAATTTTTTGGAGATGACTTTTTTTTTGGTACCGGGAATCGAACTTGGGTCCTTGCACTTGCAAGGCAGGTGGCGGAACCACTGAGCTAAATCCCTGGCTCTGGAGATGACTTTTTGGTAGCTTGCAGTAATTCACTTATAAAACTACTTGGACTTTGATCACTTTAACTTTTAATATATTGTTATATTTCCTTATGGCTTATATTGGTTAACTCTTTTCAAAACAAGGTTTAAAAAGTAACTGTTTTTAATATTGTTAATCTTTTATTTGAATTTTATAAATAAAATTCTGAGTTCGTTTGTATTTTTCGTTTTAAATAGAACAACAATTTCTTTTTCTTTTTTGTGTGTGTTTAGTTAATGGACAGTAATCGTCTCAGAAATCTTTCTCTTCATCAGATGTTTGATCCCCTTGCGAAGTTTTTTTGGTCTTCAACATTGAGTGTGGACCTTTGCTCCATCAATTTTTGATTTTCCTGTTGCATTGCATTCTGAAGCTCTTCTTCTGAAGAAAACTGAATCCAACCCATACTTCTGTGAAAGCCAGCCTCTACCAAAAGGAACAGCATACTTTTGTATATGGCCAAACTGAGCAAAGTGTTCTCTGAGCTCATTTGATGCTGCAGTCCAGGGAATTTTCCTGAAAAAAGCAGTTGGCTGATTAACACTTGCATGCAGTGCCATAGCATCCCTTGCTACAGAGCCTGCCATTTTAAAAATAGTGTAATAATTTACGTTTTTGCCTTTTTAAAAAAAAATTTTGGTACCGGGGATCAAACTCAGGACCTTGCGCTTGCAAGGCAGGCGATGGGCACCGCTGACCTAAATCTTTGGCCCACTTTTTTGCTTTTTTGAGCAGAGCCTTGCTATATAATTCAGGCTGGCTTTCAACTCATGTAGCCCAGGCTGGCCTCAAACTCAAGGTAATTCTCCCACCTCAGCCTCCCGAGTGCTAGGATTACAGGTGTGTGCCACCAAACCTGGCTGAAAAGTACAATAATTTAAAGCTCTGAAATTATCTGAATATTTCTTTGACCAGAAAGAGGAGTGCTTCAAGGAGAGAGTTATGATGACACAAATACATTAACTGGGGCCTGTCCTCACATCTGAGTTTAAGGGAAAAAATGACTATGAAGGCTCTTATTTACTGTTTAATATTGTTAAATGCTTGAGAATGCCTAAATTATTCAATTTGTAAACTTTCAAATTGTGCTCTATGTGGAGTGTAAATACTACATAAGGCTTAACACTCAGCATTTAAATATATGCATTTCTCTTCTTTATAGGCCTCGAAGCAGAGGAAAAACTACAGTGGAAGATGAGGATAGCATGGATGGGTTGGAGACAACAGAAACAGAAAATATTGTGGAAACAGGTATCCTCACTTCCTAAGATTTAAAAGCAATGTACATAGTAACTTGGCCTTATGTAAACTGTGCATTTAGCATTTATATAGCAATGTTTTGAATTGGCATTTATCTATATACCGAATTCTAAAACTCTCATCTGCCTGAATAGTTTGATAGCAAGCTACAAAGTGAAAAACAGTTGCTGTAACTTTTCCCTGATTTAGTAGGAATTAATATTTATGTATATGTGTTTTTATCACAGCAGAATTAAAACTTGAAGAAACAATAATTCTAGACTGTTAATGCAATGACTCAGTTCTGCACCTCAAGTATTTAAAGCATTTTTTGTTGATACATATGTAGAGGAAAAAAGGTTTCATTACCAAATGAAATACTAAGTTAAACAAATAGTTTCTGGTCTGTTAGACTTTGAGGTGCCTTCAAGTAAGCTTATGTGTATTGTGCATCTGCAGAAGGTAGGAAGTGTAGATTGTTCAAAATTTACAGAAGGTTAATGATGTAATTGTCAAAGGGACTGAGTTGTACGCTGTATTTAGAGACAGTCTCTGGTGATATTTGAAACAGTTGTTGGATAGGACTTGGACATAGTGTTAGGCTTTCTTTCTGAAGTTGAAGATCATATTGATGGTTGTAGAATGTCATACAATTTTTAGAGAAAAGTTAAAAATTGCTTTATCTTTTAAAATACATTTTTCCAGAAAAATGCTTTATGGTTGTCACGTATGTTATAGCTATAATTATAGCTGTAATTCTGGAAAATCTTTAAATAGCCTGCAATTCTTGTGCTTTTTTCTGATAGTCTAGTTAGAGCAAGAAAGTGAAGCTTGGAAGTTCAGAACTCTTTAAATTCATTGTTTTATTATCACATTACTATAAACTTGAATTTATATAAACTTTATTAGTCCTTTTTGGCAGGATTTTTTTGTACTGTACATAGTAATTTATTAGTGAAGTCTATTTCAAACTTTAAACTACAGTTTCAACATGATGATTACTTATAAACTACTTTAAAACAATGGTATCAGACCAGATTCTCTTCAAGAGTTAGCATCTGCCTCCTCTGAGACTCCCTCACCCTCCCTTCCTTTCCCCTCCTCCTCACCCTCCCTCCAGGTCGATTGATCCCAGGGCCTTCCACTAAACTACCTCCTTAGCCCTTTTGTGTTTTTTTTATTTTTATTTTGAGACAGTCTGTTTGGGTAACTTAAGTTGCTCAGGCCGGGTTTGAATTTACAGACCTCAGCCTCAGACCCCAGAGTGCCAGAATTACAGGTGCATGTGCCTATGCCCACCCAGCACCTGCCTATTTTATTCTCCTATGCTTCTCCTATTATCCTTGTGATAATCTCTTCAACATTCTGACCTCTTTGCTTCCTGATTTTCTCAAAAATTCTTCTCCATTTCTCCCCATTCACTCATTTCTATGGTCATTACTTTACCTTTTGTCATTGTACCAGTCACTAGGACAATTGCTGTTTATGTCCAAGAATCTCAATTTAACCATCCTACCTCTTCCTTTTCAAGCTTACTTTCTCCTAATATCCACAAACAGTAATTCTTTAGCCATATGGAAACCTCTAGTTTGGTGATCTTGTCAGTGGGGGTTCATTACTCCTTTTCTAGCTCAGGTCTTCTGACTGATCATGGTAGTCATTCTTTTAGACACCTTCATTTCTTCCAGCAGCCCAGGTTTTACATTCTAGCAGCTAAACACAGCTGTAAAAAAAATGTATACTCTTACTGGGTGATTTCATTTTAAGTCTGTGACCTCAAATCTCGAGTGGGTCATTATTGCTGCTTTCCATTCATTCTGCCTTTACTTAGAAAATTCTTCTTCCAATATTGAAGACAACTAATTTTACTTTCTTATTGCCCTTCAAACCTCAAATACCTCCTCCCATTTTTTATTCTTCAGCTGATGATCTTGCTTGTTTCAGTGGAAAAAGAAATTCCACATTCACTCACCTTCAAATCTACTGTTTTTTTCCTTACATCTCTGCCTGAATACTCTACCTTTCCTCTTGGTAAAATGGGGTTAAGAATCTCGGCAGCCGTCTGAGACCAACTCCTCTGTGTGTATACTGGTTTCTACTTTTTCTCTTCACCTGTTGTGGACTTAAAAGTCTGCTTTATTTTTTTTTTTTAATTTTTCTTTACCAGGAATTTTCCCATCTCAACAAATCCCTCTGTTAGTGTATAAATGTGTTCTTTAACACAGATAATCTTTCTTCTTCAGACATTCCCTCTTGGCTACTGTACAGTGTCTTTGTTCATCTTTTTTTTTTTTTTTGAATAAATTCCTTTATTGGTACATTTTAGGTATACAGTACTTTTACATTTATCATTGAGTACTTGTACATGATGTATCTTGGTTCTTATTTTTTCCCCATTCCCCTGTGCTCCCTTTATCCCCCCCTTCCCTATTTACAAAGACTTTGTTTCCATTTCTTTCTTTTCTTATAATTTTTCCTTTCCCTCCTTTCCCTTCCCCTTCTGCTCCCACTTCTTCTATTCCTCTGGACCTTTTCTTCTATTTCAAATTATCAAGTATTCATTTTAATCCTTATTTACACTTTCAGTTACCCACACCAGGGAAACTGTTTGGTATTTACACATGTGTGTCCTATTTATTTCACTTAAGAGTATGGCGTCAGTATGCATCCACTTAGCTATGTCTCTGTTTGTCATTCTTTATGGCTAAGTAGTACTCCATTTTATAAAAAAAACCACATCTTCTTTATCCAGTTTCCAGTTAATGGGCACTTGGGCTGTTTCCAAACTTTCGCTATTACAAACTGTGCCGCTATAAACATGGGTGCACATACATCGCTGTGGCATGATTCTTTTAATTCTTTTTTAATTATTTTGGGAAGATACCCAGCAGGGGAATAGCTGGGTTGAATGGGACCTCTAGTCCTAGTTCTTTGAGGTATCTCCATACTGATTTCCACAGTGG